TGTGTGTGTGTGTGTGTCACAGGGGAGATTGGAATCCAGTGGGATCCGGAATCCTCCTAGGGGAGATTGGAATCACTATCTCCCCTAGTAGAATTCCAGATTCCATAGGGGAAAATGGAATCCTGATATTCAGATCCCAATTCAGTAGTAGAAATACTAGAACTCATCTCTCTCTTGGCTTGGCTAGAACTCATAGATTGAATCATTTCACACCTAAACTTTCAATCAATTTCAGCATAGACAAGCCTATTTCTATAATTGTAGGTGAATTACTAGACTGTCTCCTTGACTTAGCCTGGGTGCCACGTTACAAATCGAATAACACCCAGGCTAACTTGGTAGGGGGAAACTATCCCAAGTCACTAACAAACTGGAAAAACTGGTTTTTGAGTCATCTCAAAATGGCCTGATGCAAATATCTAAGTCTGATTTACATTTTCACTTACCTATGCTGAAATTGATCGAAAGTTTAGGTGTGAAATAACTCAGTCTATTTTCCCAAGCATTTTGATGCAATCAGAATTTCTCCTTTTAAAATTGGAGATTGTCCTGAAAGAATTTCCACTTGTCCTAGGACAAATTGGAATTCCTATCTCCCCTAGGAGGATTCCCGATCCCCTGGATTCCAATCTCCCCTGCGAGAAGTACCGCGCCAACATTCATTTCACATTTTTAGCATTACCCGCATTATGATTATGGACAAACATGTATATTCTTCTAAATCTGCTTAAAAAAAGAAATGTCTTTATTTATTTCTTTTTTAAATTTAATACATTTTAAGTGGTTAACATCTTCAAATTATAAAAGTCAAGTCACGTTCCTGGGCTTTAGTCGATCAATAGTATCAAAACACATCTCTGTCAATAGTTAGGTGTCAACTAGGTGTGAAAAAGTCCGGATCGAGTTAATCCTCAACGCAGGTTAAGATATCGTCTTAATCATGGAAGCAGGTGACAGTTCCGACACAGTAAGATTTTTTCGAAACATTTTATTTAATCATCCAATACACAATCCCCCATGCATAGAACGAGAAGGTGTTTGGACTGCAGAAAGAAAGGTTTGATAAGGGCGAATACACAGGCACTTATTTTCTGGAAAGGTTTCAACATACTTCTAAGTGAAAAAACACATCCATTACACGCTCAGGTGTGAATACACTGAAAATACACATCCAGTAAGGGCGAATACACATGCTCAGGTGTGAATACACATGTCCAGGTGTGATTACACATGTTTAGGTGTTTAGACGTATTTTACGACGTAGTTTAGTTATCGACGTATCTCAAATGCGACGTAGGCCGTGTTTATGTGAAGTCATCACACAAGGCGCTTTACGTGTGGTTTACCCCGAAGCCGGTTTCAAGTGGCGCCATCTGAACGCTCCGAAATCACATTGAAAGCGGCTCGATCCTAAGCTACTTCTAGAGGTGGTTTCGAATCGGTTTTCCCGCATCGCGATTTGCGTCTGAACGCAATGTAACCTCGCCTGGTCATGGATTACGGCGTGATATTTCTTTATTTATATGCAATACAAACTTTTACGTGGCAGCAACTTTAAGAGCAGTAATGGTCAAATAATGTGTCCGTTCTAGGGCGAGCTTCACCGCCTCTGGCGGGACCACGTCGACATTCGGCCGAGATACGCTGGGAGGGGGGCATCAGCAAGCAGGTCGTTGACCTCTGACATTGATGACACGCCACCTTGCGTGTTATCATCAAACAGCAATAAATGTAGCTCAAGAGAATTGTGATCCGACACGGTTTCACAGGAGCGTGTGGCACGTGGACCAGATGTGAGTTACCCGAATCGCGGTTTGGTGACTTCACTTTAATACGGCCGTAGTTAAGCCATCGACGTTGTTCAGCCATCCGCGTATTTTTCTAAAATAAATATGATGTAGTTTTAGCCAGCCGCGTATTTTGAGGAAATACGACGTAGATGACTACGACATGTTTTGTAGGTTCATGAAATACTGACGAAATGCGATGTGGTAGGAACGCATTTATGTTCCTGTACGTGGAATAGGCCAACGACCTACGACGCGTTCCTTGCTCGAAAAATGCTAGCATTTGGGCAGCGAACTACACTTTAGCTGTGAGGGCTTCCACTTGTAGACAAAAAGCACGGTGGTCAAATCTGGGCTTCAAAGTTCCCACATTTCATGGAATCCGAACTGTGTTCGATCGTGTTCGATCTGGGCAATTTGAATCGAACCCGCGTTCCATTTCGGGGTCACCTGCGGCCATTTAGAGTAAAGCGCAAAAACAAGCCCTTTAACCTGAGTTCCTCGCAACAGATAAAAAAACAACACTTTTCTATAGATAAAAACAGTTTCCTGGACAGTACATGTCCGCTATAATTTTCTAGTGGACATGTAACATGTAGCGAAGCTACTGTCGTATCTTTGAGTGGCCTGTACGAATAACACAATGCACACTGTTGGGCGAAATGACATGTCTGCACAACTCGTTCAAACCTTGAAGCATGGACAATCAAACATACCCCATTTACGGCTCAAAAAGGACTGTCACGATTGTCCCGAAAATCGTGTTTTAGGGATTGTTGAAAAATGGCCTCAATTTCGAATTATGGGTAATTCAATGAGAAAAATGTAAAAAAAAATGCAATTTTTTCACCAATATGTCGACAAAAACTAGACTTCTTCATCTTCTTCTTTTAGTTCCTCTAACAACCCCGTAAGGGGTATCGCTGAGGGGGGGGGTGCGTGGACCTCACGGTAGGGAGGTCCGAAAGGCCTCCACAGATTGTGCCTGTATGGCCTGGGCAGGTAAACTGTTCCACTCTCGTATCGAGCGTGGGAAAAATGAGAATTTGAAACAGTCTTTCGTTGCAGGAATAATATTGTATTTAAAGGCGTGGCTACCTCTGGTGCGCCGCTGTGCAGGAATAAGATATTGTTCAGAGGGTATGCGCATGTGACCGTGAGTTATTTTGAACATTGTAGTCAGACGTGCCTCTCTTCTTCTGTTGGCGAGAGTGGGCCATTGGAGGTTTTGCAACATTTCGGTCTAACTACTGGTGCAGCCATAGTCATTCATGACCATCCGGGCTGCCCTGCGTTGTACGTGCTCAACTGCCTGCACCCCACCAGCTGTGCAGGGGTCCCACACTGAGGCGCAGTTCTCGAGTTGAGGGCGCACTAGAGCTTTATAGCAAGTGTTTTTGACTTGCGATGTGCAATGGCTTAAGTTACGCCGGATAACTCCCAAGGTCCTGTTTGCCTTACCAGTAGCGTGAGCAATGTGAGCATCCCAACGCATGTCGTTGGAGATGTGAACTCCCAAGTAAGGGTACGATTTTACTGTCGTAAGATTTACCGAACAAAGACTATACTGCGTTACAAGTGGTCTTCGTTTGCGTGTAATGTGGATAGTGTGACATTCAGCTGGGTGGACTTAAAATCAGAAATTAAAAATTCCTAATACGATTTTTGATCTTATTCTTAGTCGTCGAAAAATATAAAAATCGGGGATCTGGGGTAATATACGAGTACGTAGCCAGGTTTGACCGATGTTTGCCTAAAAACATGACATGACTTGTGCTCGGAAAATAATCGTATTTCAGAGCAAAATTTAAAAAAAATCAGTGATTTAACCTAAAAAGCTAACATTAAAAGGATGTTAAGACGATAAGGTCATTTTAATTTGACGAAATTTACCGCTAAATACTATTTGTGAATTTTTTAATGTTTTACGGGTAGTTCAAAACAAGCCAAAACTGCATCTTGTAACCCTAACGCGCCAAGCAATGGAAAAGAATGCCGTAGTGACAGACCGCCGTAAAGATCCATTGCGTTAACATATCTGGTCTTTTGGAGTTTCAGAATCACTTTGAAAAGGTTTGGTTAGGTCAAAGCCATTTAAATTGTCATAAAAATTGATAACTGCCCACACCGTTTAACGCATCTGAAAGTGGGAACAAGGAACAAAAAGGATCCAGAAAAAACTATGTTAACAGCGTCCAGCGTCATTTGGTGTACAGTTCGTCATTAAGCTGTCCGTAAAACAGATCTTTCGGCAATAACTTGAGTGTAAATCACGGCCAATAAGCTAAAATGGCTTACTACCTAATGTTTTAGAAAAATAAAAAAAGTACGTTGTTGCAATAACGTTTTCGCAATCTCCGATGTCACAAATGCCTTAAAAATTCTATATAGAACGCATCTATGATGGTCATCTGGCGAAAATCCGCTTCACAATTGCTCGCGGACTAATTCCAAAAACGCTTTGCTGGCCGAGCAACTTGAGCACGCAAAAAATAAACAGTAAAATTCAAGACATTTTTTGTAGATTCAAAAATATTTAAAACTGTATATCGATCGCCAAGCAATGGCGAGCCGAGCCCAGCGTGACAACCCAGCAGGTCCGGTGATTTACTGCGATGTATTTTGAACTCAGATGCAGGTCAGATTTGTACTCAGATTAGGAAACGTAATAACATTTTAAAGATTGTAAATACCAACCGGTACCAACCTAGTACCAGTATCAGGGTCTTCATTGTTGTAGAACCTAGGGAACCACATTTCAATTACTAACTAGAGGTCGGAGATCTCATGTCTTCGTGAGAGGTACATCATTCGAGAGAAATTAACATGCGTATTCTTCACTCTTTTTAATAATCAATTTGGTCTAAAGAACAAAAGAATCTCTGTACTATTTTTATGGTACAAAACACCCTGAAACGGTTTGCCGCAGATTATACAGATGCGTCGTCACCCGTGTTACGCCCCCCCCCCCTACGCCATTTGAGTTTGGACTGTTACTGAAAAAAAAACGTTCAAGAAATTCTTACTGTGTTGAAAGTGTCACGACAGCGCCGCAAAATATAATAAGAGAAGATGTTATAAAGGAAAGAATCAGAACAGGGTGACTACTGCTGTTTTGTTAATTTGTCTTTATGACAAATAGAAGACTTGTTTCTTGTGTTCTTTGTGTCCTAACATTTGTACTTCTACAGTTAGTATATTCCAAATCTAGGCATCTCGTTTTTCGGCCCTTCGTGTTTTTATTGCGCGCTTGCCTTGAATTTGAGGTAATTAGATTTAAGGTCTCCAGTGGACGTCATCCATAGCAATTACTTGGTGTGGCCGAAGAAAATAACCTGACATATGTCCAACCTATCCTCCCCCTGCTGAAGTTATAGTACAATCCCTCAATGTAACGTCATTTGATCCCATCCCATTATGGGGTTCCCCGGCTATATCCAGCTGTCGTCTGTCTCCAAGCAGATGTAGGTGGGGGATTTCTAAACACAAAATGTCCTATTACGGGGACATAACGACCTCCACGACTCTCATCTTTGAACTCAATCTTGGAGACCACGACAGTAACATGCCTATCCAATTTCATTAACTTCCATCCACACATACAAAAGTTATTCTGCTCACAAGAAAAATTAACAACATGCCCCCTGTAGTCACAATGAAACCCCCCACGAAGCTCAGTAACGAACTTAACCTTGGTCCCGACAATAGTAAGCACCACACCAAGAATTATAATCAACATTTTACAAATACTTGAGTTATCTTGCTAACAAGCCACAAACACAAAAGGTGCACTAACGTGACGCACGGACCCCCCACGAAGCCGAAACTCGTACTTGACTTCGGCCTCAACAGCGGTAACATCTGCCTGTCAAAAATCATGCACGTCGAATCATGCCTTCCAGAGTTATATCGCAAAATCCGCAGTTCCCCACACTCCGGCGAGACAATTTCATAGTCCTTCTGACGAAGACAATGAGACCAATGTAAGAAATAAATCAGGAAAAGAAAACAGATCAATTATATACCGTCATCTACTTTGTAGGTCTAGAACACAGTCATATAGGTCTAGAACTCAGGCCTTCCCCAAGTAAAAAGCATCCCAGGTCGCAAACTCGTATTTTTCTTTATACGGTTATATACGTAGATACACATGACGCAATATTACAATGTAATTACGATTTCACCCTACAGCATTTTTTTTCTCCCGATCGCTACCAAATACAACAGGAGAATATCACCGACTGGCCTACCAACTATTCATCTTTGCTGTCCATACCTATCCTCTAAATGTCGTGTATTGAAAAAAAAAATAACCTTCTGTTTTTGTCCGTACGTTTCCTAAGTTTAACGCACTTTACTCGCACGGTTCTGCAAGGTGTAAGTACGTGGTCTGCACGCCACGTCTGTCCGTGATTGGTTGCGTGTATCGTTTGTTGCGTAAGGGGTAAGTTATTGTACGTGCTTACAACCTGTATATAAGGTGCTACACTTTTTCGACTCATGAACGGTCATGGACATTTAAAGCAATCCACGCCATGCCGCTGATAATGAATGCCGGATGCCATACCAGAGCATTTCATAACGTTTTTTAGTGGCAAAGAATTTTAAACGAATGGAAATCAATGTCAACCATGTCAATATCAACAGGTACTCAGGCATCGTGAAAAAAGTTGTAAAGAAGGAAAAAGACACAAGCTTGTTCGAACCTGGATCAAGTAGCCTAATATTAATGCGCTTACCCCATACATATCCCGATATACGATCTTGACAATGCACATTCTAGCGCACTTGAAGTTTATTGTCCTGCATTATAGCAACAAACTGTTTACGAGACAGAAAGTAGCTGAAGTGCAAGGCATTCTACTTTGCCCTGTTCTATGCTATAAAACACCTGCGGACGTTACAGAGGTTCTGACATGATCTTGTACAACCTCCACTTTTATCTATGACTATTGTTTAGATACAGCGAAGTAAACGCAGTGGCAAAAGACCATATATACATTTAGAACATGCATTTGCTAGACCAAACTAAAAGGAAAGTTTTAGTTGCTTTAATCATTCGCCCAAAAATATTTTAGAAAATTGCACCTCATAAACAAAATTTATAAACCGTTTTGTATTCTTAGCTGTTTATCTTTTTGTCAACTGACTATGACATCTGAAAAACCACCTGCCAGCAGTGTACAAAAGATCGGATCAACAGTATATTAAATACACCTTCTCATAATTGTGGAAAAGTCAAATTATCAAAGTCCTCGAGATTAGTCCATACCACCCAGCTTACAATTGAAAGTAGCCCGTTAGTGCATTCAAGTAAAGTACTATGTTATCATAATAAATATCCAACGGTCACCTGACCCAACAACAATGCGACGACCAAACCAAGAACCTGCGACGAAGAAACCAACGAGACCTGCTAACGAGTAGATTTGAACTTAACAATGAATGCGGCACAGGACACGGCTAGCTATAAACGGACGAAGAAACTTTGACCCCCCGAAAGGGGAAGTGCAGCGGAATCTTGATAAGGATCACTCGCTGACTGGAGTTTCCCCTCTCACCTTTTCACCCGATTGCCTATAGACCACACGCGGTATGTCACTTGAGAGTACGTATCAGGTTTCTCCAAGCTATGTGGTTTTTGCATAGCTTTTTGGCATCTTCAAAGGCACGGTTTGTTCTTTTGACCAGGATTTTCTTGTCAGTCCATCTTATCCTTGTCTGAATGTTTTCCTTTTTTTCAGGAGGTTTCAACTCGAGAATAAGGTGTTTTCCGATCGTCTGCTAATATTTTAGACAAGTGCAAAATTAGAGTGCATCATTAGCCATGGCACTTAAAGTCTATTAAGCTGCCGTCTCGCCATTACTGGTTTTGGGAAGGACTTTAAATGTGAACAAATTAAAATCACTGGAAACACAGCCAGTGGTGCAACCTTGACATTTTTACAACGTTGCGCTATGAATCACGGGGAAGTAAAAACGGCGAATATAGTTATCGGGTACATCTGCTCAATTACAGTTCTAAAATATTGTTGTTTTTTTCCTGTTAAATGCAACAAATATCTGATCACATTTTCACTGTTGCCATACATTGCACCATGTACAACTGTCCAGCAATAAAGTTTATACATCCATTCTGATTGCGCCTGTCAATAACATGTAAAACAGCGGTACTGCCTTTTTATGTGAAACTTTATAATAAAAATATTCTCACCACTAATTACGAAGCAGTCTTCGTCTCTTACGGTTGTCTTGATTCTTCTGTACACTTGATGATTGATTAAAGGTTTGGGTGGACTGGATGTCCTAACAGCTGACCCTCCTCAACCCGAACTAGCTGTACTTGTCCCCTTTAGAGAAAAAAAAATGAAAAAAGCGTTAAAGACGGAAAAAGTGCAAACCTAAAGATTTCGCTGGTTGAGGTATATTTTAACTCATCGATCGGGCCGCTAAGGTCATTGGAGGTAAAAACAGACACATAAAGCAATGGCCCGTATATACATGTAATGAGCTACACTTTTCCGTCTCGTAAACGGTTATGGACATTTAAAGCGATCCATGACATATCAGATCATTTCATACTGTTTTTGAGTGGCAAAGCATTTAAAACGTATGAAAATCAATGTCAACAATGTCCATATCAACACGTACGCAAGCATCGTAAGAAAATTGTAAGCGCACTTGAAGTTTATTGTCCTGCATTATAGCAACAAACTGTTTACGAGACAGAAAGTAGCTGAAGTGCAAGGCATTCTGCGTTGCCCTGTTCAATGCTATAAGACACACGTGCGGACGTCACAGAGGTTCTGCCATAATCTTGTACAACCTCCACTGGTATCTATGACTATTGTTTTAATAGATACAGCAAAGTAAACACGGTGTAAAAGACCATATATACATTTAAAACATGCATTTGCTAGACCAAACTAAAAGGAAAGCTTTAGTTGCTTTAATCATTCACCCAAAAATATTTCAGAAAATTGCACCTCATGAACAAAATGTTTGAACCGGGTGTATTCTTAGCTGTTTATCTTTTTGTCAACTGACTATGACATCTGAAAAACCACCTACCTGCAGTGTACAAAAGATCGGATCAACAGTATATTAAATACACCTTCTCATAATTGTGGAAAAGTCAAATTATCAAATTGAAAGTCCTCTAGATTAGTCCATACCGTCCAACTTACAATTGAAAGTAGCCCGTTAGTGCATTCAAGTAAAGTACTATGTTATCATAATAAATATCCAACGCTCACCTTACCCAACAACAATGCGACGACCAAACCAAGAACCTGCGACGAAGAAACCAACCAGGACCTGCTAACGAGTAGATTTGAACTTAACAATGAATGCGGCACAGGACACGGCTAGCTATAAACGGACGAAGAAACTTTGACCCCCCGAAAGGGGAAGTGCACCGGAATCTTGATAAGGATCACTCGCTGACTGGAGTTTCCCCTCTCACCTTTTCACCCGATTGCCTATAGACCACACGCGGTATGTCACTTGAGAGTACGTATCAGGGTTCTCCAAGCTGTGTGGTTTTTGCATAGCTTTTTGGCATCTTCAAAGGCACGGTTTGTTCTTTTGACCAGGATTTTCTTGTCAGTCCATCTTATCCTTGTCTGAATGTTTTTCCTTTTTTTAGGAGGTTTCAACTCGAGAATAAGGTGTTTTCCGATCGTCTGCTAATATTTTAGACAAGTGCAAAATTAGAGTGCATCATTAGCCATGGCACTTAAAGTCTATATAGTTGCCGTCTCGCCATTACTGGTTTTGCGAAGGACTTTAAATGTGAACGAATTAAAAGCACTGGAAACACAGCGAGTGGTGCAACCTTGACATTTTTACAACGTTGCGCTATGAATCACGGGGAAGTAAAAACGGCGAATATAGTAATCGGGTATTCCCTGTACATCTGCTCTATAACAATTCGGAAAATATTGTTTTTTTTTCTGTTAAATGCAACCAAAATCTGATCACGTTTTCACTGTTGCCATACATTGCACCATGTACAACTGTCCAGAAATGAAGTTTATACATCCATTCTGATTGCGCCTGTCAATAACATGTAAAACAGCGGTACTGCCTTTTTATGTAAAACGTTATAATAAAGATATTCTCACCACTAATTACGAAGCAGTCTTCGTCTCTTACGGTTGTCTTGATTCTTCTGTACACTTGATGATTGATTAAAGGTTTGGGTGGACTGGATGTCCTAACAGCTAACCCTCCTCAACCCGAACTAGCTGTACTTGTCCCCTTTAGAGAAAAAAAAAATGAAAAAAGCGTTAAAGACGGAAAAAGTGCAAACCTAAATATTTCGCTGGTTGGAGTATATTTTAACTCATCGATCGGGCCGCTAAGGTCGTTGGAGGTAAAAACAGACACATAAAGCAATGGCCCGTTTATACATGTAATGAACTACACTTTTCCGTCTCGTAAACGGTTATGGACATTTAAAGCGATCCATGACATATCAGATCATTTCATACTGTTTTTGAGTGGCAAAGCATTTAAAACGTATGAAAATCAATGTCAACAATGTCCATATCAACACGTACGCAAACATCGTAAGAAAATTGTAAAGAAAGAAAAAGGCATAAGCTTGAATTCGAACCTAGATAAATTAGCCTAATACTAATACGCTAACAACATACATATTCCGATATACAATATTGACAAAGCACGTTCTAGCGCACTTAAAGTTTATTGTCCTGCATTGTAGCAACAAACTGTTTACGAGACAGACAATAGATGGAGTGCAAGACATTCTGCGTCGCCGTGTTCTATGCGATAAATTAAACACACGTGCGGACGTCACAGAGGTTCTGCCATAATCTTGTACAACCTCCACTGGTATCTATGACTATTGTTTTAATAGATACAGCAAAGTAAACACGGTGTAAAAGACTATATATACATTTAGAACATGCATTTGCTAGACCCAAAAAATGGAAAACTTTTAGTTGCTTTAATCATTTACCCAAACATATTTCAGAAAATCGCACCTCATAAACGAAATTTATCAACCGTTTTGTATTCTTAGCTGTTTATCTTTTTGTCAACCGATTATGACATCTGAAAAACCACCTACCTGCAGTGTACAAAAGATCGGATCAACAGTATATTAAATACACCTTCTCAAAATTGTTGAAAAGTCAAATTATCAAAGTCCTCGACATTAGTCCATACCACCCAGCTTACAATTGAAAGTAGCCCGTTAGTGCATTCAAGTAAACCACTATGTTATCATAATAAATTACCAACGCTCACCTGACCCAACAACAATGCGACGACCAAACCAAGAGCCTGCGACGAAGAAACCAACGAGACCTGCCAACGAGTAGATTTGAACTTAACAATGAATGCGGCACAGGACACGGCTAGCTATAAACGGACGGGAAAAAAATTGAACCCCCGAAAGGGGAAGTGCACCGGAATCTTGATAAGGATCACTCGCTGACTGGAGTTTCCCCTCTCACCTTTTCACCCGATTGCCTATAGACCACGCATAGTATGTCACTTGAGAGTACAGTTTAGGGTACTTCAAGCTGTGTGGTTTTTGCATAGATTTTTGGCATCTTCAAAGGCATGGTTTGTTCTTTTGACGAGGATTTTCTTGTCAGTCCATCTTATCCTTGTCTGAATGATGTTTTTTTTTATTTCAGGAGGTTTTCACTCTAGAATAAGGTGTTTTCCGATCGTCTGCTAATATTTTAGACGAGTGCAAAATTAGAGTGCATCATTAGCCATGGCACTTAAAGTCTATAAAGATGCCGTCTCGCCATTACTGGTTTTGCGAAGGACTTTAAATGTGAACGAATTAAAATCACTGGAAACACAGCCAGTGGTGCAACATTGGAATTTTAACAACGTTGCGCTATGAATCACGGGGAAGCAAAAACGGCGAATATAGTAATCGGGTATTCCCTGTACATCTGCTCTATAACAATTCGGAAAATATAGTTTGTTTTTTTCTGTTAAATGCAACCAAAATCTGATCACATTTTCACTGTTGCCATACATTGCACCATGTACAACTGTCCAGAAATAAAGTTTATACATCCATTCTGATTGCGCCTGTCAATAACATGTAAAACAGCGGTACTGCCTTTTTATGTAAAACTTTATAATAAAGATATTCTCACCACTAATTACGAAGCAGTCTTCGTCTCTTACGGTTGTCTTGATTCTTCTGTACACTTGATGATTGATTAAAGGTTTGGGTGGACTGGATGTCCTAACAGCTGACCCTCCTCAACCCGAACTAGCTGTACTTGTCCCCTTTAGAGAAAAAAAAAATTAAAAAAGCGTTAAAGACGGAAAAAGTGCAAACCTAAAGATTTCGCTGGTTGGAGTATATTTTAACTCATCGATCGGGCCGCTAAGGTCGTTGGAGGTAAAAACAGACACATAAAGCAATGACCCGTTTATACATGTAATGAACTACACTTTTCCGTCTCGTAAACGGTTATGGACATTTAAAGCAATCCATGACATATCAGATCATTTCATACTGTTTTTGAGTGGCAAAGCATTTAAAACGTATGAAAATCAATGTCAACAATGTCCATATCAACACATACGCAAACATCGTAAGAAAATTGTAAAGAAAGAAAAAGGCATAAGCTTGAATTCGAACCTAGATAAATTAGCCTAATACTAATACGCTAACCTATGCCTTTAGCGTGGGGTCGTGTGGCGCAGTGGCGAGTGCTCGACTCGGAACCTGGAGTTTGATTCCTGACATGCCACCGATCTTTTGTCCTTGGGAAAGACACTTTACACGACTTTCCTCACTTAACTCAAGTAAAAATGAATATTGTCCTGTCCTGTATTTGTACCCTGTGTTGGTGGTGCCATAGGATAAGTTGATATAACTTGAGTGTGCCGTCGCTATGTTTGGTCATGAACTGTTGGAATAAAAATTCTAAAAAATGCCCTAACCCAATAAATATCCCGATATACGATCTTGACAAAGCACGTTCTAGCACACTTGAAGTTTATTGTCCTGCATTATAGCAACAAATGGTTTGCGAGGCAGAAAGTAGCTGAAGTGCAAGGCATTATCTAGCAAAGTAAACGCAGTGGTAAAAGACTTTTGCAACTATATATAATTAGGCCATGCATTTGTTTGACTAGACTAAAAGGAAAACTTCTAGCTGCTTTAGTTTAATCAGAAGGTGATTTTGTATTCTGTTTGTTTAACCTTTTTTGTCAACTGACTATGAGAGCTGCAAACCATTTATTTTTGCATTGTAAAGAAGCAAACAACTTTTGGAAAGAGTTCTGTTACTGGTGGAAACGATGTACCAAACAAGACCTAATCGTAGACGAGAAGATGATTATTTATGGTATAATTGATAACCCTAGCCATATTAGTGCACTTGCACACTGTCTTCTTACCGCTAAATATTGTATATACACATGTTTCATAACAAACTGCAAACCAAAACTCTCAATTTTCAAACACAGACTAAATCAAATTATAGAAGTAGAACACAATGAACAATGAGAACTTTTTATGTGATATCATTATATATAGACAATCCCCAGATAACGTTACCTTTAAAAAAACTGTCCTTGATTGTTATGTATCATCCCACACGATTGTACATGTATGTCAACTATGTACCTCTTTTTAATGTAACATCGTGAATATTAATAAAGAAAAAAATGAGAGCTGCAAAAACCACCTGCCTGCAGTGTACAGTAGATTGCATAATATTGAATACACCTTCTCGTAATCGTGTAAAAGGCCTCGAGATTAGTCCATTCCGTCTTAACGGACTACTTTCAATTGTGAGCTGGACGGAATTGACTAATCTTGAGGCCTTTTACACGATTATAAGAAGGTGTATTATGTTATTATAATGGATTACCAATGCTCACCTGACCCAACAACAATGCGACGACGAAACCAATGACCTGCGACAAAGAGACCAACGAGGACCTGCCAACCAGTAGACTTGAACTTAGCAATGAATGCGGCACGTGCACAGGACATGGCTAGCTATAAACGAACCCAGGACCTCTAGGTTAAGAGTCGAGCACTCTGCCGCTACGCCACAAGACCCCACAGTATGTCAGTTGAGAGTACGGATCAGCTGTGCGGATTTTGCATAGCTTAAAAAGCACGGTTTGTTCTCTTGACCAGGAGTTTCTTGAGACCATCTGCCCATCTTATCCTGTGTCTGAATTTTTTTTCTCAGGAGGTTTCCATTTTAGAATACGGTGTTTCCGATTGTCTGCTAATATTTCAGACAAGTGCAAAATTAGAGTGCAGCGTAGGTCATTCACTCAAAGTCTGTAAAGTTACGGTCTATTCAATTGTTATATCAGAAGTATAGTGTTGCTATATTGAGTCAAAGTGTCTGATTCAAACACTCTAGGTTGAAATCATGTAGAGTTCGTTTAATTGTCAAACACTGCGAATCGGCTTGTAGAGATGGAAGAGACGAAGCAGTCTGAGAGAGGGAAAGAAAAAGAGAGTAAGGCACTGTCGCAGGGAGAGATCCCATTTCGGAAGAAGATAGCATTATATCTTATAATATTATCCTAAGGTTTGGTCGCGCTTGCGGTAAGGAAAATTGCACTAGTCTGCGATTGTAGCCGGAAAACAGGAAACCTCTGTTAGCAACCGATTCTTATTAATGGCACTTGGTAGGTCTTCCCCTGTAAAGACCGGATTATTTACTGTTGATCTCATCCTGAGATTAAGTCATGCTTACGGTAGCAGAAAGTTGCACTAGTCTGCGGTTTCAGCCAACAAATAGGAAACATCTGCTAGCACACAAGTCTTATCGAGATTACAGTATGCCTCCTCACCCATGCATGTCTACACAATGCTGCTTTAAATATCGACGGGTTTTGCACAGTGCCAAAACACCCTGTGACTGTGATGTAGCCTTTGTAAAGAGGAAGAAGAAACAGTTGTCCACCTGTTCTGGGACTGTTCAATAACTGCAAACGTTTGGGGTCAGGTGGACAACTGGATCTTGGAAATAACAAAAAAATCATTTGCATACTAATGCACTCAATATAATTTTTGGAACCTCAGGTGACCGTTGCCCTGTTCTGTCTAATGTTATTATTCTTCTTATGAAGATATTTGTTTTTAGACATATGAAATATTCTTTAAATCTGTCTGCTTTCAAATCCTTTGTTTCGTTTATTAACAAACTAGAATTGAACATTGCATACAGACAATGTAAAGTACATAACTAGAAAGGCCAACATTTGCTTCGGAGCAAATGTAGGAATTTCACTCCATACCCTTCCCCAAACAAAAATGAGAGATTCTAAATAAATCATACTGCAATTATACAAGGACAAGCTGTTTGAATCTCGACAGGTATTTACAAAACTGGCACTTGGCAATTATCTCCCTTTTTTTTACAAAGATACAACGACACGCACTTTAAATCTCGACAGCTTTACTTTACACTTTTGACGAGATTGTAACTACTACTAACGGAAGCAAAATTTTCACGGCCTGAGAAAAATGGACATGTTCACGGAAGTATATATTCACGGTGGTGACAGTTGCAGGAAAAATAAAGTCCAGGAATTATTTCCTAACTGTAATGATAAGTTCACAATACAGAGGTGACAGTGAAAACCGTGAACATTGACCCCCCGCTTGCGTTGCGGTACAGTGAAAAAAAAATCACAGCAATCAATTTACTGAGTATGTTTGCTTAGTTTCCAGATGTTTTGTACTTGTAGTTTTTAAATGAACGAAAACCGATGCGCGCACAGATGTTACTTTTGTGACAACATCAAAGTGATTTTGGTTTGTATGTTGAAAAAATACAAAAGACTAACATTCGAAGTTATTGAAATTCTTGAGTAAGAACAATCAGTTTTGGAATGTTAAAAGCAAAGCAATGGATATTAAAACGAAAATGTTAAAATTAAATGTTGAAATTGTTAAAATGTAAAATGGTTAAAATTGTTGAAATTGTTAAAAATGTTAAAATTGTTAAAAATTGTAAAAAGGATAATTAAAAATATCCAGTGTACCGGGGTTCGAACTCGTAACGTTTGGACTTGTAGCCCTGCGCGTTACCAACCGAGCTATCTGGACACGTTTCCATTACTCTCTGCATTGTATGTCATATAAAGTGAACAACATGGCGGTAACGATCAGTACTAGTAAGGGACTTTCTAGGAGATACACTCTACAATTTTGGTGATTCTTCAGAAATCGATAACAGAATATATAATACTAGTCGGTGAAGATTGTGGAAAATTGTTGATACCGTGGCGCGCGCGCGTGCGCCGACGATACACATTACGTACCGTTGTTTACAGTACTCGCGGGGCGCAGGTCATTGACCTCCCGCTTGCGTTGTTCCAACAGAGAAGAGCAAAATATCTGCCAGTTTTATTATTTTCAGTGTTTGTTAAAATCATATACAGGCATCCATGCAGCTATAATTCTTCCAACTAGTTCGTAGTTAGGTGAAATTCTTCCAACTAGTTCGTAGTTAGGTGAAATGTTTATAGGAATCACACGAATCGGTATCCAGTATCAGAGTATCATGGCCCACGGCCGAGACCGCGTGGACCAGCTGCGCTGGTACGTGAAAATGGTAGTAAATAAATTAATTAGCCAACAGCCAATCAACAGCCACATCTGCAAACATGACCACACCTGCTTGTATGCCCATATTTGGGCCTTCCCCCGAATTCCTTTCTTATTACGTCACGCGCGTACGCCCCCACAGTACTTTCCTATGGGGACCACTAAAAAGCAAATAAAACGATTGTAAAAGCTTGTATCAAAAAAATTTAAAAAACGCCTAAGGGTATTTACCCACTCTACCTCTATACGAAATTACAGGTAATTTCGCCCAAAAATGAAGGAGTTGAATCAATTTAAAGAAGTGGCAGGAGGAGGAGGAGAAGGAGGAGAAACATCAGAAAAAGCAATATGGGTTCACCACCACTTCGTGGTGTGGTGAACCCATAAAAAAATGTTGAAATTGTTAAAATGCAGGATTGTTAAAATTGTTAAAACTGATAAAATTGTTAAAACTGATAAAATTGTTAAAAATGATAAAATTGTTAAAAATGTTAATATCCGATGCACTGGGGTTCGAACTCACAATTTCTGGGATTGCCGCCTGGCGCGTTACCAACCGAGCTAACTCGGTGCGATACACATCACTCACTGCATTGTATTTCATATAAAGTAAACAGCATGGCGGTATCGATCGCCTCAAGCCACCAAGACTTTCAACTATTAACTACGGGGTTTCCTTCTTTATCAGGTTTGCTTTTGAACCACCTTGATGTTACTTAACTATCAACCCGGCTAGCAGAAGCCGCCGGCTCCTTTGATATTACAGCCGCTCCCTGTCCAATCTTCGAAAACTATCGGGCATGCAAGCCCTCGACGCTCGCCAGGAAACCGTCTCGCGATGTTCTCAGCAACAACAAACGAACGCCTGTGCACTCTACAATTTTGGTGATTCTTCGGAGATCGATAACAGAACCTAGATAATACTAGTTGGTAAAGATTGCGGAAAATTGTTGATACCGTGACGCTCGAGTAACTTTTTTGTTTACACGCCGGGCGCAGGTCATTGACCTCCAACTTGCGTTGTTCCAACAGAGAAGAGCAAAATGTCTGGCTCCCGCAGAACTTACCGCACTCTCCCGCTGGACGTATCGCACTCTCCCGCAGAACGTATCGCACTCTCCCGGAGGACGTCCCGCACTCTCCCGAGGGAAGTCCCGCACAGCGTCCTGCACTCTCCCGCAGAACGTCCCTCGAAAAATTGATGCGTATTTCGTGGCCTGTGCTGTACCTACCAAAACACTTGAGTTCATACTGTCAAAATGGAATGGCTTTGAACAGGTGTTAATTGAGTTAATCCAATCAAATCCAACAGCCAATCAGCAAGAAGAATAGATTGGTCTGCGTCAGGTTCATGCTTGCATGCCCATATATGGGCATGCCGCCGAATTTCTTTCTTATTACGTCACGCGCGTACGCCCCCACAGTACTTTCCTATGGGGACCGCTAAAAAAGCAAATAAAACGATTGTAAAAGCTTGTATAAAAAAATTTTAAAAACGCCTAGGGGTATTTACCCACTCTACCTCTATACGAAATTTCAGGTCATTTCGCCCAAAAATGAAGGAGTTGAATCAATTTAAAGAAGTGGCAGGAGGAGGAGAAGAAGAAGAAGAAGAATCATCAGTAAAAACAGTATTTCACTCCATACTGAAGTATGGAGTGAAATAAATATAAGGGAAAATGCCGCGATTTTAAATGGGGAAATTTTAATACTATATTTTCTGGTTAAAGATAGGCACATGTAGTAGGTAACTAATAGATATATAGGTAATTTGTGATTTATTTTAAATGATACATGATATGTTTTCGGCATTGGGGTTGCTAATCGGTTAATATTTCTGTTTCGGTTTATTATGGGTTCACCACACCACGAAGTTGTGGTGAACCCATATTGCTTTTTCTGATGTTTCTTCTTCTCCTCCTCCTCCTCCTTCTTCTCCTGCCATTTTTTAAATGGATTCAGCTTCTTTATTTTAGGGCCTAAGGTCCTGAAATTTGGTATGGAGGTACAGTGGGCAAATACCCCTAGGCGTTTTTTAAATTTTTGTGATACAGGCTTTTAGAATGGTTTTATTTGAGTTTTTTTGGCTGTGTTATAGCAAATGTAATACTGTTTGTGTGCTGTGTTTACCACGTAAGGGCATGAGTCATCACAAAGGAATGCAGGGCATCAACCAATAGGCATGCAGCTTTCCTCTATACTTCTTGCTGATTGGCTGTTGGGATTTAACTTGATTAACACCTGCACAGAGCATTTCCATACTGACAGTATGTCTTTATTCAAGTGTTTTGGTAGGTATTTCAAGCTTTTCTGCTCCAGCATT